ACCCCCTCACCCTCCAGGCTAGGCCAGGGCCGGCCTGCAGGGCGACCTGTAAGCCTGGGGCCAGCCTGCAGGATGACCTTGGGCTGGGGCCAGCCTGCAGGTCAACCCCCTTAGCCTCTGGGCTTGGCTGGGGTTGCCTACAGGCCTGTAGGTCGACCCCATCAGACTCCAGCCTGGACTAGGGCCGGCCTTCAGGTTGACCCCCTCAGCCTCTAGGGTGGGCTGGTGTTGGCCTGCATGTCAAAGCCGTCAACCATCAGGCTGGTCCGGAGCCGGCCTGTAGGACGACACCCTCACCCTCCAGGCTGGGCTGGGGCCGGACTGCAAGTAGACCCCCTCAGCCTCCAGGCTGGATGGAGTCGGCCTGCAGGACCACCTGTAAACCCCCATGCTGGGCTGGGGCTGACCTGCTGGTCAACTCCCTCAGCCTGCAGGCTAGGCCAGGGCCGCCCTGTAGTTCTGTAACAGGGGGGTCCCCAGGAAAGGGGGAGGTTCCAGGTTTCCTGCCCCACCCAAAAGGAGGGTGGACCTGAGCAGGGAGAGAAGAAGCTGCAGAGGAGACGGAGGAGGAAGGAAGCAGGATGGAGCCAGGAGGAGACCTGGAGGAGGCACAGGGAGCTGAGAGACACGTGAAGAAACTGCGCTTGCCTTGTGGTCGTGGACGGGGTGACACAGATGTGGGTGAGACCCGTGGGGAGGGGACCATGGTGGTTTTTGTCTTGATGTTGATTTTGCTCTTTTCCTCCCAGACTTGACTGGTTGTTTCTGACCCTTTTCTGTGGGTCCCCACTGGAAGATGCTTTGTACTTGGGGCAGGCTTTGGGGCCTTGCTCTGGGCCGATCCTGCTTGGGTGGTATTTTACCCACGAGGGGACGGGTGACTTTGGGTGCTTGATTTAGAAACTATGTTCTTTGTCTTTTCTGTATTGTATTAAAGTTGTATTGTATTAAAGTTGTATTGTATTAAAGTTGTGTTGTATTAAAGTTGTGTTGTATTAAAGTTGTATTGTATTAAAGTTGTATTGTATTAAAGTTGTGTTGTATTAAAGTTGTGTTGTATTAAAGTTGTATTGTATTAAAGTTGTATTGTATTAAAGTTGTGTTGTATTGTATTAAAGTTGTATTGTATTAAAGTTGTATTAAAGTTGTGTTGTATTGTATTAAAGTTGTATTGTATTAAAGTTGTATTGTATTAAAGTTGTGTTGTATTGTATTAAAGTTGTATTGTATTAAAGTTGTATTAAAGTTGTGTTGTATTGTATTAAAGTTGTATTAAAGTTGTATTGTATTAAAGTTGTGTTGTATTGTATTAAAGTTGTATTGTATTAAAGTTGTGTTGTATTAAAGTTGTGTTGTATTGTATTAAAGTTGTATTGTATTAAAGTTGTATTGTATTAAAGTTGTGTTGTATTAAAGTTGTATTGTATTAAAGTTGTATTGTATTAAAGTTGTATTGTATTAAAATTGTATTAAAGTTCATTTTCATTAAAGTCTCATATGTTTTGTGTTAATGCGGCAGATGGCAGAACCTATTTAGAGCAGGCAGGTTTGCAGGGTCTGGGCTGTACCTCTCCCTGTCCTGTAACAGTTCGAACCCTCTGGTTTGGGCTGGGCCAGTCCTACAGGTTGAACCGCTCAGCCTCTGCAGGTTGACTCCTCAGCCTCCAGCCTGGTCTGGGTCTGCCCTGTGGGTCGACCCCCTCAAACTCCAGGCTGGGCTGGGGCCGGCCTACAGGTGGACTGCCTCAGCCTTCAGCCTGGTCTGTGGCTGGCTGGCGGGTCGACCCCCTCACCCTACAGGCTGGCTGGGGCCGGCCTGCAGTTCGACCCAATCAGACTCCAGCCTGGTCTGGGGCTTGCTGTCAGGTTGACCCCCTCACCCTCCAGACTGGGTTTGAGTCGGCCTGCATTTTGACCCCCTCAGCCTCCAGGATGGGCTGAGCACGCCTGCAGGTTGACCCCGTCATACTGCAGGCTGAGCAGGGGCTGGAGTGCAGGTTGACCCCCTCACCCTCCAGGCTGGGCTGGGGCTGGCCTGCAGGTTGACTAGTAAGCCTCCAGGCTGGGCTAGGGACAGTCTGCAGGTCTACCCTCTCAGCATCAGGGTTGGGCTAAGGTAGGCCTGCAGGTTGACCCACTCAACCTCTGGGCTGGCCTGGGGCTGGCCTGTAGGATGACCACCTCATCCTCCAGGCAGGGCTGGGGCGTGCCTGCTCGTGGGTCTCCTGAGCCCATAGACTCGTCTTGGGGCAGAAGCTGCTCGACATCCTGGGATCTCATGCTGCGCTGGATCGCCCTACAACTGGACTCCTGAGCCTCCTGCCTGTGTTGGCACAGGGCTGCTGGTACACCGTCTCAGCCTCCAGTCTGGGCTGGGATTGGCCAGCTGTCTGACCTGCTTAACCTCCAGGCTGGGCTGGTGCTGGCCTGCTGGTCGACCCCCTCAGCCTCCAGATTGGGCTAGGGCTGGCCTGCAGGTCGACCCCCTCAACCTCCAGGCTGTGCTGGGTCAAGCCTTCAGATCCACCCCCTCCACCAGCAGGCTGGGCTGGGGCCAGTCTGCAGGTTGAACCCTAGAGCCTCTAGGCTTGACTGGGGCCATCCTGCAGGTCGACCCCCTCACCCTCCGGGCTGGGCTGGGATTGGCCAGCTGTTCAAACCGCTCAGCCTCCAGTCTGGGCTGGGCCTGGACTGCTGATCGACCCCCTCGCCTCTAGGCTGTTCTGTGGCTGGCCCGCAGCTGGACCCCCTCGGCCTCCAGGCATCAATTGGCCGGCCTGTTGGTTGACTTGCCCTGGCTTCAGGCTGAGTGGGGTTGTCCTGCAGGTCTGCCTCCCCAGGCTGCAGGCTGAGTGTGCCAGCCTGCCGATCAACCTCCCCAGTCTTCTATCTGACTAGGGTCAGCCTGCATGTCTACTGTCTCAGGCTTCAGGCTGACTGTGGCCAGCCTGCCTATCTACCTGCCCAGGCTGAAGGCTGACTGGTGCAATTCAGCCATCCAGGCTGCAGGCTGCCTGGGGCTGGCTTGCTGGTCAACCTCCCCAGGCTGCAGGCATACTGGGCAGTGAAAGGTTGTAAAGTCGGCGAAGGAAGAGACGAACAGACTGGAGGAAAAGAAAAGTTTAATAGGTAGCGCTCCTGGGCGGAGGCTCGCTAAGTCATTTGAGGACCCAACGAGACTGCGTGCAGGACCAGGCACCGGGGTTTTTATGGGGGGCGAGCTGACGTGTCATTCTCTGCTGGGTCTTTTCCTTTTTTGGCCGGGTTTTCTGCTGGGCGCCTCCCTTCACATGGATTAACTGGCTCCACCAATTTGCTTCAGGGCCAGTGACATTCTGAGAAGGTGACATTTCAGAGAAGGTGACATTCCGAGAAGCCCGGGCCCCTACAGGTGGCCTGCCGTTTGACCTCCTCATGCTGCTGGCTGACTGGGGCCGGCCTGCCACTCGAATTCCCAGGATGTAGGCTCACTGGATCTGCACTGCCATTTGAATTCCCCAAGCTGCAGGCTGACTGTGGCCTGTTGCTCATCGACCTCCCTGGACTGTAGGCTGACTGGGGTTGGCCTTCCAGTTGACCTCTCCAGGCTGCAGGCTGACTGGGGCCGGCCTGCCGGTCGACCTCCTCAGCCTCCAGGCTGACTCAAAGCCAGATTGCTGGTTGATCTCCCCAGCCTGCGGGCTGAGCCCGAACTGGCCTGCTGGTCCACCTCCCCAAACTACACGTTCAATTGGTGCTGGGCTGCTGCTTGACCTTCCCAGGTTCCAGGCTGAACAGGGACCAGCCTGCTCTTCAACTTCCCCTGGCTTTAGGCTGGCTAGGGTCCAGACTGCGGGTCCACCTCTGTTGCCACCCCCCCCATACTGACTGCGGGCTGGCCTGCTGGTCGACCTCCCCAGCCTCCAGGGTGAGCACGGGCCTGGCCTGATGGTGGACCTCAGCATCTTCCTCCAGGCTGAGCCTGGGTTGCCTGCCTATCTACCCCAGGCTCCTGCAGTGTGTGTGGGCCTGGCCTTCTGGTGGGCCTCGGCCACCTCCAGGCTGACTTGGGCTGCCTGCTTATCGACCTCAGCCCGCTCCAGGCTGACTGGGTCTGGCCTTCTGCTCTACATCAGCCCCCTCTAGGCTGACTCTGCCCGGCCTGCTTGTCTACCTCAGTAGCCTCTATGTGGATTGGGACCGGTGCTGGTCTACCTCCAGCATCCCCCAGTCTGTGGCTGGGCCTGGCTTGCAGGTTGAATTGGCAGTCTGCAGGATGAGCTGTGTCTGGCTTGCCGCCTAGTCATCCTACAGTTTGAGACTATGGGTCCGCCTGTGGGTACACTTCGGCATCCTTCAGACTGATGCTGAATTGGCCTCATGGTCAATATTGGCAACCTCAACCCTGAGCCTGGGCTTGGTCTGTCTGTCGACATCATAGCCTCCTGTCTGAATCCTGGGTGGGATGATGGTCGACCTTGGAATCCTCAAATTTGGGCCTGGGGCAGCTTGCTGGCTGCCTCGGCAACGTCCAGGCTGAGCCCAGAGTTGTGCTGTAGATCAACCTTGGCATCTTCTAGTCTGAGACCAGGTCGGCTGGCTGGTAGACTTACGCAGCCTACAGGCTGAGCCTGGGTCGGCCTGCCAGTTGACCTCTGCAGCCACCAGGTTGAAGTGGCACTGACCTGTTAGATGACCTTGGCAGCCTCCAGGCTTAGTGCAGGGACAGCCTGAAGGTCAACCTCAGCAGCCTTCTTGCTTCCAGGGCTTCTGGTCAACCTTGTCAACCTCAGGGTTGAGCCTAGGATGGGCCTGCTGGTCGACCAAGGCCGCCTCCAGGCTGATATGGGATTGTCCTCCTTGTTGACCTCAGCAGTTTCCCGTTGAGCCTGGGGCTGCCCTGCTGGTAGGCCTTGGCAGTTTTAACCACAGCTCTGGCCAGTTGCTGGTGTACCTTGGCAACCTTCAGGCTTAGCCCAAGCTTGGCCTGCTGGTCAACATCAGTAGCCTCCAGCCTGACGGGTAGGCCTGCTTGTCGACCTCAGCAGCCTCCAGGCTGAGCCCAGGGCTGAACCGTCTCATCCTTGTGGCCTCCATGGTCAACCAAAATGCCAACTCAGGGCTTGGCCTGTAGGCCGCCAAGGTCAACCAGCAGTCTGACACCAGGCTCAGTCTGGAGGCTGCTGAGGTCGACCAGCCACTGACCCCAGTCTCAACAAAGATGCTGTTGAGCTCTACGAGCATGCTAGGTCTGGCCTCAGTATGGAGGCTGTCAAGGTCCTCCAGCACCTGCTCAGACCTGTGGTTAAAACTGCTGAGGTTGACCAGTAGGCTGGCCCTGGATTCAGCCTGGAGACTGCTGAGGTTGACCAGCAGGCTGTTGCTGGGCTTACCCTGGAAGCCTCTGAGGTCCACTAGCAGGCTGACCCTGTCTCAGCCTGGAGCTTGCCGAAGTTGACCAGCATGCCGACCCCTTCTAGGCCTGGTGGCTGCCTAGGTACACCAGCAGGCTGACCAGGTTCAGCCAGGAGGCTGCCAAGGTTAATCAGCACGCCAACCCTGGGCTCATCCTGGATTCTGCTGAGTTCATCTAGATACCAGCCTAGGGTTTAACCAGGAGGCTACTGAGGTTGACCAGCAGGCCAACCCTGTCTCAACCTGGAGCTTGCTGATATCATCTAGGAGCCCCACCCAGGTTTCAGCCAACAGACTAGTGAGGTTGACCAGCATGCTGACCCCGTCTAAGCCTGGAGGCTGCCGAGGTTGACCAGCAGGCCAGCCCTGGGCTCAGTCTGGAAGCTGCCAAGCTTGCCCAGGAGCCCTACCCAGCATTCAGCTAGGAGACTACTGAGGTGGACCAGCAGCCTGACCCGGGCTCAGCCTGTAGGCTGCTGATGTGGACCAGCAGGCTGACCCCATCTCAGCCTGGAGGCTGCCGAGATTGACCTGCTGGCTGACTGCAGCTCTGCCTGGAGGTTCCTGTTGTTGACTATCTCCCGGTCTCGGGCACAGCTTGGAGACTGCCTACCCGAACCCAGATCTAACCTTGAGGCTCCTGAGTCAAACAGCCGATCAGACCTGATCTCAGGCTCCACGTGGGAGGGGTCGAAATCCCCACCTGACTCTCACCTGGAAATTGATTTGGACGAGGACTCAGTCTAGAGGACTCCAGTGTTTGACTGCCAGATGGACCTAGACCCTAACTCAGCTGGAACCTCCTATGTGAAACAGCAGGATCAACATGGTAGACATCAGGTAAGAGTGGCTGGATTCCCCCAGGCTCAGGGTGGAGGTTGCTGACATAGACCAGCAGGCTGAACTTGATACGCTTGGAGGATGTGGAGGTGAACTAGAGGGCTGGCCCCAGGCTTAGCCAGCAGGCTGCCAAGGCCAACCAGCTGGTCAGATTCAGGCTTCAACTGGAGGTTCCAGAGGTTGAGCACCTGAATGACTCTGGCATCAGCCTGGATGCTGTTGAGTCAGCCAGCTAACAGACCTTGGTTCAAGCCTGAGGCCCCTGAGGTAGACCAGCAGGCTGCCCTGGCTCAGTCTTCAGACTACCCAGGTTTACCAGCTGACCAAAACCGAAGAGCATGGAGGCCGCTACGGTCGATTGACTTAATGCTCCCATGCTTAGTTAGGAGGCTCCAGGGGTTGGCAAGTTGACTGGCTCTGGCCTCATTCTGGAGTCTGCCAAGGATGACCAGCAGCCCAGACCCCGCCTTTGGCTGGAGCCTTCAGTGGTTGACCAGCAGTCCCCCCTGGTCTCAGCCTGGAGTCTGTCCAGGTCATCCATCTAGCCAGTCTTAGGCTTCAGCTGGAGGTTTAGGCTTCAGCTAGCAGGCTGGAGGTGGACTCAGCCTGGCTGCTGCTGAGGTCAACCAGCAGGCCATCCCTGTGCTCAGCACATAGAGGTTGACCAGCTCCCTTGTCCCTGGGCTCAGCCTGTAGAGTATCTAGGTCGATCAGCTGACTGCCCCTGGGCTCAGCATTGAGGCTGCTGAGTTTGACCAGCAGGCCTCCATGCTTATCAGGTTCCAGCCTGCAGCCAACCTAGGGAGTTTGCAGGCTGAGCCCGGGGCTGGCCTACAGTTCACTTTGTTTTTTTGGTTTTTTTTTTTTTTGAATAGAGGCATGTTTATTTATTTATTTATTTGTTTGTTTGTTTGTTTATACATGCACTGGGTACAGTCAGAAACGCGGGAGGGTGAGAGAATTCACCAGAGCCAGAGCAGGGAGCAGAGCAGGCAGAAGGACCGAAGTACACTGCTGAGGGGAGCAGCGGGCGGCAGGAGAGGTCTGCGCGCCATGTGGGACCCTCCTCCGGTGGCCGGGGAGCAGCCGGGGATCGAACCGGCGCCACAGAGGCCGCGGGCAGCTTCGCAACCCAGCGCTCAACCGCTGCGCCACCAGGGAAGCCCCTACAGTTCACTTTGGAGCTTCCAGCTGAGTTAGGGCTAGAACCCACCAGTTGTACAATATTGAGGCCCTCCAGGCTGAAACCAGGTCTGCATTCATTTCTGGGTCCTGGTTGGGTGGAGCTTTAGTCCTCACACACCTCTAGTTGGACCCCATGTCTGACCAGCTGTTCAATTTGGAGGCCCCGGGCAAGGCTGGGGTTCTCTAGGTTGGCTGTGGGCTGGAACCTGATAAGCATGGAGGCTGCCAACGTGGACCAACTGCCCGGCCCTGGGCTTTGGTTATACTCCAGAGGTCGACCAGCTGGCCGGCACTGGGCTTGCCTGAAGGCTTCCATAATTAACTGCCAGCCCAATCCAGTCCCCAGCCTGGACTCAACCTGGAGGCTCCTGAGATCGGAGCGACCGCCACAGCTGGAGTCAGCCTTGAGGATGCTGAGCTGGGAATGCCGGCCCTGCCGGAGTCATACCTGTGCACAGACCTAACCTGGAGGCTCCATTTTAAGCAGTTGTTCAGACCTGGGTTCAGGCTGGACACGGCCTGTGTCACATGTTTCGTGGTTCCCTGGGAATTGTCTGTCTCTTTGGTCTTGTGTCATTATCTGTGTCCTCCCTTCCCCACGGTGGTTATGAGGACAATGAGGGGTTGACACAGGACAGCTCAGTATCCCGCTGGTTGGAATTTATGACGCGAAGATGAAAGAAAAGGAGCATCTGTAAGCTGGCAAATTTGATTTTCCACTCACACAGAGCTTTCCTGTTTCACTTTCTGCTGCTCTCCCCTCCCCAGCCCAGCCCCTGCCATCCTGTGACTTCACCCCACACGTCCCAAGAGGACAGACAGTAGCGGCCTCCTTTGTCCTCACCCGCTCCAGCACCCAGTCCCCTGCCCACCTGCCCTGGAGCTGTGTCAGTGCCTGACAGCCTCGCCTGCCTGCTGGCCACCTCTCCTGCACCTCCTGCTCTGCCAGGGCATCCCAAGAATGATCCAGTAAACTCTTGGCAGGGCGGCCCCCACCCCCACTCCCTCCTTTCTCTCTCTCTCTACTGTCTCCTTCCTCATGGCCAGCTGCTTCTCCATGCTCCCTGCCGCCTGCCCTCCATGCTGTGGGTGTCACCTCTGCTCAGGTCAGGCCTTGTATCCCTGGGACTGAACAGGCCAAAGTCATGTTCCTCTGGCAAATGTTTGACAGATAATTATCCATTGGAGACAACTTTGATGTTTAATAATGGCAAGAGATTATGGATATTAAGTCGGTGCACCTTCACCGTAGCGTGTGTGCTGCTCGTCGGGGATCTTGTTAAGATCCAGATTGAGTCCGTGATCCTGGGAACTGTGGAGCGGGGCCTGAGGTCCCACTTTGCTGACAAGCTCCCTGGGGGCCGGCGCTGTCCGTGGGCCCAGGGAACACACTTTGAGCAGCCCGTGTACAGACATGGTCAGTGCTGCGGGGCTCAGTGACCTGCAGACAGCCCCGAGCCAGCAGGAGGCGAGGGTGGATGGCCGGAGGGCTGCTTTGTCCGGGTGGCTGCCTTGGTGCCTGCAGCTGATCGCTTTAGACTCTCAGGGTTGTTTTAGGGTCTCTGTTCAGATGAGCTGTGTCCACATCTTTCAAAGCTAAGGATGCTCAGAATTCGATTTCGCCTCCCTGCCTCCCCGTCCTGACCACAGCCGCTGTCCTGCATGGCCCTCACCAGCGGTGGCTTGGGCAAGGAGCTGTGCTGCCAGGCAGCAGGGGTACCTGGGCGCACTGTCAGCCTGGGTGGGAGACCGCATCCCCGGTTCCCGTCATGGCTTGAGCTATTAGCTAATGTCTCCGAGGCTTTGAGTCACCCATTCCCGGTGAGTCAGAGTCCATCTGTGTCCATTGACGCCCCCAAGCAGATTCACTGCCCAGCTCTGTCCCTTGTACTGGCTCAGCCCAGCTCTTTTCTTGAGGCAAAAGGACTGGCACCCCATGGTTCTGACTGGACCCCCTCTGCACCCTGGCTCGGGCACTGGGGTGTGGGCTGTGGTCGCCCCCATCCCTGCCTGTAGCCATGGAGTTCACCACCGTTGTTAGAACTGTAGGGGTGGGTGACCCTAAAATGAGGCCCAAAGACAGAGGCTCTGGGGAGAGGGGTGCTGTCCATGACTCGTGTCCCCACGCCCTTCTGGGGGTGCGCTCTCACCGGGAGGGCTTTGCGATTTAGGAAGAGCTGCCAGCAGAGATGGGGGGCTTGCCCAGAGTCCTCAGTAGTGGGAGGTTGAGCCAGGATCGAGGTGGTCATGTGATTGTAGGAGGCCTGGGGGCAAATGTTCTTCTGACCTGAGCCCCACAGCAGGTGGCACGGTGCGGCGCAGGGCCCAGGGGCAGGGGTGGCGTGGGCAGGGTGAGACAGACGGGCCCTGTGGAGTGTCCTCCCCCCGCTGTGCTGAGGGCATTGGGCTTTGATGCCCACACTAGGAGACCCCACCTGTCTGAGGCCGGCATCCCCAAATCCACACTCAGAGCCCCTTCTGCAGTGTCAGCAGTTCTGCCTGTGGGTCCTGCCCACCTGAACGACAGAGACGGTAAGTTGGTGGCTTCTCTGCGTGTGTGAGTCAGTGGGACCATTTCTGAGACAGGAGGCCTTGGTCACGTGGCAGCGGGTGGAAGGAGAAGGAGGGACTTTGTTCCTTAGTCCTCATTCTGTGGGGTTGGCAGGAGGGGAGCCAGGGCGGGCAGTGTGCAGAGAGCGCTAAGGCAGCAGCTGGGCCAGGCCCCAAGCAAACTGGAGGGGGAGCTGACTAAGCTGACTAAAGCAAACACTTCCTGAGCGCCTGCCATGACTCTGACCCATGCGGAGCACGCCTTCCTCTCTCCCTCCCTCCCTCCCTCCCTCTCTCCCTCTGTCCCTCCCCCTCCCCCCTCCTTTCTTCCCACCTGTGTGCTGTGGACCTGCATGGTCAGCAGGTCAGATGCTGCTGAAATGCATAAAGCAAAAAGCTGCAGTTCCCTCCTAACCCAGCCTGGTTCCTAGAGGTAACTCAGCCCCATTAGCCCGGCCCCGGGTGAACATACACACGTAACCTTTTTTATGATCGTCTGAATGAACAAAATTCACAAAGTAGTTTTTGTTTTGCGAAAGGAAAGAGAGAAATCCACACCATCGCAGCGCGTGGCTCTTGAGTCTGCATTCCCCGAGCAGAGCACAGCATGCAGCTGCCTCCAAGGGGGGCCTCCAAGGGGCAGGGAAGAGCTGCTTCCCTCCGAGGAGGAGCTGGATTGTTTGGGGGTTCTGAGAAAAGGTAGGGAAAGTGTCGAGAGAACAAGATTGGGACCCCAAGACTAGTGTCTGCCTACCCAGGGGTACAGTGGTCCTGCCGTAGGTGCTGGTGGGGAACGGCCCTGTGTTCTTCCCTCAGGATCCTCTTCTTGGGTTGCCAACACCCAGCTCCCTCCCTCTCGGCAGTCAGGGAGGCTCGACAGCCAGGCCACACCTAACCGCTCAGGGAGAGGCCTTGAGCTGGACACCAGGTACTCTAGCAGGAGATGGTGAGGCGGAGGGAGGCGTTGCTTAGCAACCGCATCAGCAACAACATCTGCGGCGAGCAGGAGGGGTTCAGCGGATGGTAAGTGCATTTGAGTCAACATGATGGGAACTTTCAAGGAAGTCAGTTTGCTCTTTGGCTACACTAGTGGGAGGATGGCACTCAGGGTGGGGGAGAGGACCTTGGGCTGGCCTGACGTCGCCTGGGGAAGCGGGCTCATGCCTAGCTGTGCTTCATGGGGGCTGGCAGAAAGCATGCGAAGTGAAGGGTCTTTAGGTTCTGTCCTGGCGGCACTGAGGAAACTGAGATGAGGCTTGAGTGAGGGGCTTCGCTGCAGACTCTGTCCAGACTGGAGCAGGTGGAATGTCCTCCCCACAGGGTGACCTCAGGCCGTGCGGCCATCTTCTGTGAACCACAGTTTCCCTGGCTTTCATAAAAGGCCCTCAGTGTGTAGTTTCTAAGGCTGAGCCTTGTTTGGGCACTGTGGAGCTCATTTTGTCTGCTCTTTTTCCTCTCCTAGTGACAGATCTGGGGCACTGTGCATGTGGCGAAGCTGCGTGCCCTGGGTGGGTGGGCAGGAAGAGGGCCAGTCTGCAGGGCAGCTAGCTGCAGGACGTAGCCTTCCTGTCAACGACCTGTGGTTTTGATCCTGACTAGAAGTGATGAGATTCCTTCGTTAGCCCCACTGTAGAGAAAATAGTGCACGTTTCCATAAATCAAATGCCTGCCAGAGGAAAAACTTCACGAACATTATCTCATGTAATTGTCGTCATGATGCACTTTCACAGTTGTGGAAATGAAGGTTTGATGGAAAAAAATGGACTTGCCCAAGTTCCCGCCCAGTTCCACTGCTGGTGGCCTCTCTCCACAGCCCCGGCCCGAGGCCAGAGGCCAGGACCTCTCTGCTGCAGTGGTGGCTCATGATGGTCACTGCTGTCACTTGTGACTGGTGTGCAGGTTGCAGAGATGACCCTGGTTCTTCATTATTTCCCATTTTATAGTCCTTCTTGTGAGTTCTGAAATTCTTCACCTAAAAAGGGGAACTGTGTTTTTTCACCTGTTGTCTTTGGGTTTGGCCTTGTGACTTGTGGTGACCAGCGTGGAAGGAAGAGCTGTTCTGTTCCCCCTAGGCTGCTGGTCCCAGAAGCAGCATCCGGCAGGTTCAGGCCGGATCAGTCTACACCCCACTAACCCACAGGTGCATGACCTAAACAAATGCTTAGTACTGAGGTGGTTCTCAAAGGGTGGACCACTATCCCCCTTCAAGGGCTGTGGAAGGTTGAAGTTAAAATTTCTATAGGGGCCTCCCTGGTGGCACAAGGGGTTAAGCATCAGCACTGTGAAGCTATCCACAGCCACTGCAGCACGAGTTGGATCCCCAGCCAGGGAGGTGACCCACATGGCGCAGCAAACCTCTCCTGCTCCCCTCAGCAGTGTATTTCAGTCGATCTGCCTGTTCTGCTCCCCACTCTTGTCTCTGGTGAATCCTCTCATCCCTGCACCTCTGGCCTACACCCCAGTTCTTGTATGCATAAATAAATAAATCTTTTAAAAATAATAAAAGTAAAAATAAATAAAATTTTTATATTAATATGAAGATATGTCTTTTTTGCAATGTTGACATTTACACTGAAGTTAAGAAGCAGTGGTGGACTGGGAGAAACAAAGTTCATCTATATGCTGTTTGCAGAATACACACTTTCGATTCACAGATACAATGGACTGAAACTAAAATGATGTAAAAGACATGTCATGCGAGCAGCAACCACAGGACAGCCGAGTGGGCACCTGGCCAGACACCTTGGTCTCAGAACAGAAAAAGGTAAGAGCGGCAGAGGGTGACTCCGTGAGGAGAGTAAACCCACGGGACAACGTGGCAACTAAGAGCAAGGGAGCTGGGCTTTCTTCAGGCCCTGGGGGTGTCCAGCAGGACGAGGATATAATTAGATGGATTTCGTTTTTTTGCTTAAATAACAGATTTATATTCTCACAGTTCTGGACCTTATCTGACCAAAGTTAAGATATTGGTAGATTGAGCTTCTCTCATTTTCTTTCAGTTTTACTGATAACATAAGTGATGACTTCCATATACCGAGAAATGGTTACGAGTCAGCCGTCACCCGCATCCATCAGCTGACACAGGTACCCCAAGGGAGTATCTTGTGGTGAGAACTTTCAGGGCCTCTCAGCAACTTGCAAGCACGGCGCAGTGGTGCTAACTGCTCCCAGTGTCCATCACAGCCCCACCATTTACTGATCTTAGAACTGGAAGTTTGTACCTTTTGAACACTTTCTCCCAGTCCCTCACCCCTTCACCTCTTGTCACCCCAAATCTGAGCTCTTCATAGAATTTGGGCTTCTGTTGGTCTGTCGTGGGTTCCGCCTGTACCTGACGCCATACTTTGTCTTTCTCTGTCTGACTTCTGTCATTTAGCATAATGCCCTCGAGGTCATTCCACATGGTCCCTCATGGCAGGATTTCCTTCTTTTGGTGGCTGAGTCCTGTTCCTTTGCGCATACGGCTACCACCTCTTCTTTATTCATTCACAGGTGGGCAGACCCAGTGGACATTGTTAACAGCACCATGCCGAGTAGACAAATGATCTGGAGAGAGCATTGTCTGCTACAGCTGCGTAACAAACAGCCCCAGCCCCCGGGGTGAACAACAGCAAACTACGCCAACCTAGTTCACCTCAGGACGTCTTCCCGCTTTTAAAAACAACTAAGGACCCCAAAGAGCTTTTATTAATTATGTTCTTTTTATTGACACTGTATTAAAGATTTTAATGTGAGAAATTTTAAAAATATGTATTAATTCCTTTTAAAGGAACAATAATAATCCAATTACAGATTAACGACCAAGACTTGTTCCATTAAAATCTCTTCATTTTTCAGGGCCTGGTGGCCTGTGGGTTAAGTCTCACTGCTATCACCCCTGCAGCCTGAGTTCCACCCCCAGCCAGGGAGCTAACCCACATATGGCGCAGCAGACCTTTCCTATCTCGCCCGCTGCTCCCCTCACTGTAAATTGCAGTGTATTCACACTGTAAATTGCAGTGTATTCACACTGTAAATACATTTACAGTGTATTTCAGTAAATCAGCCTTTCTGCTCCCCACTCTGTTTCTGGTGAATCCTCTCACCCCCCACCTCTGGCCTGTACCCCAGCTCTTCTAAATGTAAAAAAATTAAAGAAAATAAAAAAATCTAAAAAAAGATGCTATATTTTAAAAAATTCATTTCATTTTCAAAAACAAAAAATGCTAGCACAGTTAACATCTGCAGATCTAGCTTAACAGGAGACCGCTGAGGCAGGTCTGCCACCAGTCAGCCGGCTGCGGTACGTGCAACACAAGGGTGGGGGTCAAGTTCTCTTTGTTTTCTAAATACTGACCCTCCCTCAAGCCATCAGAAGGAAGTTCAGGGACCTCCATTTCCATCGTCTGACCTCCAGAACTGTGAGATCATAAATGGGTGGAGCTTTAAGCCACTGCGTTTGTGAGACTACACACCAGCCACCCACAGAGCCACACGAGAGCATTTCGTGATGAGACTGCACACCCGTAGCACGCGCCCGGCTCCGGCCAGTCCCTGATCCACTGTGGGTTTCTCTGTTCTACACCGGACTGGTACAGTTGGTGACCCTTCATGTCTGGCTTCTTGTTGTTTTGGTTGTTTTACTCAGCGTCATGTTTTAAAGGCTCATTCAGGTAGCAGCCTATGTCAGCAGTAAGCTTTCTTTCATGCCAAATAACATGTCGCCGTGTCACATCTTATGTATCCGTTGGGGAATGGGTATTTGGGGTATCTCCATTTTTGGCGACAGTGAACACTACTGCCTTGAACTGTGCGCAAGGGTTTGTGTGGACCTACATTTGCAGGTTGCCTGGTTGTATACGCAGGAGTAAATTACTGGGGCCTGTGATAACTCTGTGTGTAGCCTTTGGGAGAACTTCCAGACTGTTTTCAAAGTGTCAACACCATTTTACATTCCTATTAACAGAGTTCCAATTTCTATACATCCTTGTTGGTACTTGTTATTATCATTTTTTAAAATATAGCTGTGTCTGTGGCTGTGAAATGGTGCCCCACAGTGACTTTGATTTGCATTTTTGGGATCGCTAGCCATGGTGAGCGTGTTTGCACGTGCTTGCTGGACACTTGCTTGTCTTCTCTGAGGGCATCGCCTCTGAAGATACGCCTGTTCACCCCCTGCCCTGTGTCTGTCTTGATTCCTGGGTTACGAGATTCCTCTATACACGCTGGGGTAGGGTCCCTCTCAGATACATGATTTGTAAGTATTTTCTCCCATTCTGCAGGTTGTCTTCACTTTCTTGGTGATGTTCTTTGTAGCACAACTGTCTTCCTTTTTTTTTAATTTATTTATACAAGAGCTGGGGTACAGGCCAGATGTGCAGGAGGGTGAGAGGATTCACCAGAGACAGAGTGGGGAGCAGAACAGGCAGACCGATGAAATACACTGCTGAGGGGAGCAGCGGGCGAGACAGGAGAGGTCTGCCGCCCCATGTGGGTTGCCCCGCAGCTGGCAGGGATCGAACCGGCACTGCAGAGGCTGCGGACAGCTTCACAGCGCTGCGCTCAACCACCTGCACCACCAGGGAGGCCCTGTTTTGCATTTTGATGAAACACAAATTACCCTCCTTTGTCACCTGTGCTTTTGGTGTCCTGTCTAAGGAACTGTTGCCCAACCCAAGGTTAGGAAGATGTATAGGATGGCACAGGTTATTAGCAAAAGAAAAGATTAGCTCCAGTAAAGCCACTGCCCTTAGGAGAAAGCGGGGGATCTGGTCCTGCAGGTGACTGGGGGGCGCTGATCAGGAGGCTGCAGACTGATTGGTTTCTGATGACACTTGGGAGAGGTGGAAGCCACGGTGGGTACTGGGTCTCTCTGGGGCCTGGCGTGAAGGACTCCACCACCGTGGCTGGCTCTGTGCATGTGAAATGGCTCCCCACCGAGATTTTGATTTGCATCTTCCTGATCACTAAGGATGCTGTGCATCCTCCAAGTGCTGTGGTCCTCTTCCCTCAAGAGGCGGGGCCGAGGGAGGAACACCACAGCACTTGCCCTTCACGCTGTGCGCCTCCAGCCCCTCGCACTTGCTGCTGTGCTCCCTGGAACAGTTCTCGTTGAGTCCCCCAGAGCTCATCCCTGTACAGTCCACTCCTTGCCCAGCTACTCCTGCAGAGGCCTCCCCGCACCATCTCATCTAAGCCGGAGCCCACCAGTCACCTGCAGGACCCGGGAGATGCCAGATGCTCCTTCGCTCGGTGGCTTTTCTTCAGATGAATCTTCGGATGAATTCTCCTGCTACCACAGAAGAATGTAAGGTGTGTGAGGACAGAGACCTTGTCTCCTCACTCACGGCTGAATCTCCAGGGCCTGAAACCATCCCGAGCATGGGAGCTGCGTGGTGGTGTTTGCGCGGGTTGCACAGCTGTGACCTGGGAGTTTACTGACCTGGGGGCTCCCGTAGTTTACCTCCTTACGGCCAGGGTTGGGTCGTCTTAACCTCCACGTGCCTACAGTCTTAGGGGATGAGAGCGTATGATGGGGGCAGCTCATCTTCCAGGAAACGTGGGTGAGTAGATGGATCGACAAAATAAGAAAGAACTAACGGCGCCATTCGAGTCTGGCCAAACACCAAGCCATGGCCAGAGGCTGTTGGGGCTCAGCTCCCGGGGCACTTCCAGGTGCCCTGCGCCCAGGGGCACACACAGAGGGGTCCATGGCCAAGAAGATGAAGCGCCACCTGCAAGCCATGCCCAGCATTGAAATTTGACCAGTCACTGCTTGATGAACTTTCCACCGATCAGAGCTGCCCCGAGGGAAGCCCTCACTGCAGGGAGGGAAGCCAGCCCTGCCTCCTCGGCCTACATAAGCCCGTCCCTCCCCGCCGGCCTGGTCATTCGGCGGAAGCGCTCTTTGGGGCTGTGTCTGGGACTCCAGGCCTGAAGCCCCGGGGTGAGCCAGGACGCTTCGGCTGTGCCACAGGAGCTGTAACGTTGCTGTCACTCGGCCACGGTCCACGAGGGCTTCGGGCCCTTCTTCCCTGAGAGCTGTGGCTTCAGAGACTCGAGGGTCAGCGTCGGGTTGAGAGAGGAGCTGGACCAGGCTTGGCAGGAGGGTCAGCCCCAGTGAGGGCCAGGGCCCAGAAATAAGAGGATCCCTGCCGCCTGGTGCCTCTGAGACAGGCTGTGCTGGGAAAGGCCTGGCTGGTCCCTGCACAACCTCTGCTGTCAGGAGAACCCGGTTCCCACCCTGCTTCTGGTGTTTTCCAGCTGCGCCACCTGGGACAAGTGCTTGAGCTTTCCCCCTGCTCACCCCCCCCCCCGCCCCGACTTCTCATCTGTGCTGGGGGTAACGGAGGGACTGCCTGCCGGGACGCGCTGGAGAGAGGCCTGGCCAAGGCCTCTGCACACAACAACTCAGCAGCGACTGTCACGCTGCTGTCGCTGATGACCCCCAGGAGCCTCAGGCCTCTCTTCCGAGGAATGGGAATAATGCCCCCTGCCTGCGTACCCCAGGGGGCTGTTTGGGAAGGCTGCCAAGCTAACACCGGCATGTGCTCTGCAGAGGAAGGCGAGCTGGGTGGTGAGGACGCAGCTCTGAGCTGGCCTTCATGAGGGCCTTCCTGGGGCTGAATCATCCCCGCCCGCCGGAGCCCGCTCTGCTAGCACGGTCCGTTCTGCGGCTCGGAGCCTCCCTGGACTCCAGGGGGCCGGTCCCTGTCTCCAAGTCTGGGCAGCTGTCGGCGGGGCCCTCACAAGCCCCACTGCCTCCAGGCCAGGCGGGACCCCAGGGCCCCGCCAGCCCCTCTGGGGAGGGCAAACCACAGAGAAGCTGGGTGAGTAAAGCAGCGCAGCCCCCCGCGCCCGTTCCTGGCGGCGGCCCTTCTGCTCTGGAAGCCTCTCAGGAGCGCGCTGGGGCCAGCTCTGCACGCGGATGCAGGCCTGCCTCGCTCCACGCCCACAGACACTCGGTGTAGCCTGGAGTCACGGCTTCGGCTAAAGCTCCTTCAGGTCAAAGCTATTTAACTTTGGTGAAACATTCTCCCCAAGGGCCATGTGGTGAAGAGGGAGTGATTGGACTTGGAACCAGCCCCAGCTGGTGCCCCCACACGCCCCACACGCGCGCACACACACACACACACACACACACACACACACACGGTGCCCAGGCCGGGGGCACCCACAGCTCAGAGCCGTCAAGCTGGGCACAGTCTGAGCTTCAGGCGCAGGGGCCGGGGCCCCAGTGGGGATCTGGCCTGTCTGCTCCATCTGGCTCCAGCTCCTACCCTCTGACAAACAAAGATGTCAGACGTGACTTCCGGAATCGTCTCTGGCCCAGCATCTGCGTCGTCCTGGTTACGGCTCCAGCTGCGTGCTGTCTCCTTGCACGCTGGCTCTCGGGCGGCGGGAGGTGTAGACGCCGGCTCAGAGGGATGCGGGCAGGGCCTGGCTTGCGGTTTCTGTCTCTCGCTGCGCCGCGAGGGATATGCACACCTCTGTGCACACCTCCAGGGCAGCGATGTTGTGGCGGTTTTCAGCTAAAAGCGGCAGGATCTTCCCCGGCTGGGGGAGGGAGAGATTTGTCAGGACGAGCCCCCGTCAGTGTGGCCGGGGCCGGGCTGCCTGGCACACGTGGCGGGAAGCACGGGCGCTGCCCCGAGACGCTGGCCCCCTCCAGAGAAGCCGCGCCCTGCCCGCCAGCCACGCTGCTGTCAGGTCCCAGGTCATGGCTCTGCCTTTGCGTCCCCCAGTCTGGGACGGGGGCGGTGGTGTCGGGGGTGTGGTTGGAGAACACGGGGCGCTCTCGATGCCCTGCTTCCCGCTGACCCATCACGCGTTCCTGGCTTGCTCGGGTTGGGGTGACGGTGAAGTGGGCCTGAGCCTCCTGGCTGCAGCGGAGGGGCGGGCACTGCGGCAGCCACAGGCTCCCGCCGCCCTGGGCACCGCAGCCCCAGGGGCCTCCCGCTCTCTTGCCTCTGAGTCTTCCCGGCCACGTGGTTGGCGGGGGCTCTCCAGAAACGGCAGCACCAGTAGAACCACGGGGTGGGGGGTGTGTCAGGGCCCAGGTGGGGCTCTGTGCGCACCAAGGGGGTTGGGGGTGGGGTTGTGGCGGAGGGACGCCATGTCCTTGTCTCAGACGCACGGCACGTTAGCACAGATCCAGCCTGCTATTTTTTAATTTGGTTTGTCACCCTGTGTCCCCAGGGAGTCTTGTGCTACCAGCCTTTGCTCCCGATGCTCCGTGGGCATCCTGCTGCCTCTTTGTCCACCTGCCCCCCTAAGCCACTTCACGGGGGTCAGGGTGTCTGAGGTGGCCATGTTTCAGGCTCCTGACACAGGCAGGTCAGTGTCCTCCCGGAGGCTGGTCCCATGCCCCAGTGCATCCTCGCACAGAGTGCCCAGCCCCGCCCTGCACCCTTGGGCGCCCACCAGGTGCCAGCGCTACCCATGACTGGAGGACCCTGGGTCAGGTGCTTCTCCGCCTTTTGCTGTCCAGGCTTAGAGGATGATCGAATGTGAGAGCCGGGAGGGCCCTTGGAGGTGGCCTGGCACCCTGGTTCCGAGGAGTGGAAACTGAGGCAGGGCGGCGGGGCTGCGCTGGTGGGGTCGTGGCCGGGACGCCGTGGGAGGGTCTGGATTCCCCCAGCGCCAGGGACACTGGCGGTCAAGTTCAACCCCAGACTCAGAGCCCTGCCCCTCAGGGGCACCCCACTGGCCACACAGGGGGCACGTCAAAAAGACTAAAAATATTCACTGAAGGAATAGGGGAGCAAAATCACGGGGAACTCTTCACCCAAACACGGTCCGCGCCGTGGGGAAAGGCAGCTTCGCGGGGCCTGCGGGAGGAAAGGCCTCTTCAGCCACACAGACAGAGAAATGTGCAAGGGCGAGGGGGCTGTTGGGACGGGCTGCCCGGGCCCAGACAGTGCCTGGCTCTGGAGCTGCTGCCGGCCCCTGGAATGTCCCGGAGGCGCCCTGGCCCGGGAGATGCCGGGGCTGAGAGGAAGGCAGAGGCTAAGGAGAGGGCGGTGGTTTGCCACCTTCCGAGTGGCTCAGCGTGTGCCGTCCTCTCTCCCTGTCCTCCCCCTTCCTCAGCCAAGCCCCGTCCCCTACTGTCCTCTCCAGCCTGCGTCTCCAGAACCTTCCAGTGCTGCCCGCTCTGTCATGACCTGGGAGATGGCTGGGTCCACGGAGCGGCCGAGCTGGGCCCCGCTTCCCCTGGGATGGCCGCGGGACCCTGGCCAGCCCCCTGCCCTGGCCGTGCCGCCAGGGCTGCCCGTGCAGCCAGCTCCTCTCGCAGCACCCTCCCCTCCGGCTGGCCCGCCGCCACTCGCTGCCCGCGGACCCCGCTGCGGCAGAGGCCTCCTCGTGCAGGGGGCCTGGCTGCCCCGGTGAGGGCGCCCAGGGCTCCCCAGCCGAGGCCCTCCCGGGCGGGGTGTCTGCGTCCGTCCCGTCCCTCTCGGCGTGGGGCCAGCCCCTCCCCTCTCTCGACCTCAGTTTTCGCGTCTGTGAAATGACTTCCTGGGGGGCCCAGCGGCTCTACGAGCCACGAGGATGCTCACGGCTTTACACGCCTCCCCCCTCCCCAGCCGACGCCTCCCAGGAAGCACAAGTCCCGAGGACCCGGCTCCTCAGCAGCCCTTCTCTCCGGCAGCCCAGCACGGCTGTGCCCGAAGAAGCCCCTTTCCGGTGATGTCTGGTCATCCCTCCACCCCGGGCGGCGGCCTCTCCCTTCCCAGGGGCTGCGTGGCCCCGTCTGGTGTCCGTGACCATCCGTGGAATGTGAAGCATGAAGCTTGATCGCGTCACCGCCTTCCCCCGGGCAGAATGGCACGTGCGATGAGGAACGCGCTGGCTCTCCAGGAGCCCTTCTGCGGCTCCACGTGCCCAGAACTCCTGCTCCGGGAAGCAGGGTCTGGCCCTGGGGTGGAGTAGGCTAAGCGCCTCACCGCCGACCCACACCTCATGAGTCTCTTCTCTCCTAGAGGTAGAATCTTAAACCCACGCTCAGGACCAGCCCCCCTGGGGGTTCTGCCCCCAGCTCCCTGCCATCCCCTAGAGGGAAGGGACTTTGCAGCCATCAGCTGCTCTCCCCTCAGCTGGCGCCGGCTCTGGCCCTCTGCCGCGTGTGCCGTGGCCCAGCTCCGGCTCCTCCAGCACAGGTGCAGCCGCCATTCATGCAGCCTTCAATAGAGCCCATCAGCTCCCAGAGCCACTCCTTTGATTTCTCTTCTCCAGCATTATCACGACAAAACTAAAGGGCAAGAAAGAGACCACGCTCGCCTCCCAGCCTCTCCAAGCTGCAGAATTCCCAGGCTGTGCTGGAAGGCTCACCCTGGCCGGGCGGAGGGCAGGTGCTGCCGGATGAGGAGAGCTGGTCTGGGCGGGCTCTGTCCTTTCCACGTAATTCAAAGAGGGAGAAGGGACATGTCAGGAGGAAACATGCATTGAGTGCATTTCAGAGAGCCCTGCTCCGCGTTGCACCCCTGCTTCCCCTTCTGCCTTAATTCGTGGACACTCTAAATTATTTCCAAAAAAACAGTGTTAGAGACGGAGCGAGGCGGCAGGGCGCTGTCGTCAGCATTCCCTCTTCCTCGGGCATCGCTGGGGGTTTTCATCCTGAAGCATGGCACGGAGGCAGGGAGTTTTGGGCCACGGACCAGCAGAACCACTTCAAAATGAAGACAGGATTTTCTGTTTTCTTGAGATCTTCCCCTAAAACTGCCCGAGGAGGGAGGCCGCCCCCAGAGCCGCGGGAGGAAGGCCTGCCCGACCCCTCGGGGACGGGAGCGCGCGCAGGAGCGCGGGGAGCTGGACCCGGTTGCCCAATCCGCCCATCCCAGCCGGGGGCGTGGGCGGGGAGCGCAGAAGTGACCCCGGCGCTCGGGAGCAGCAAGTCGAATGCCTCTGTGACTCCATCACCGTCCACTCAGAGGAAAACACCGCTGCTCCAGCCTCCCATTGCTGGAGCGTCGGGAACTTCTAACGCCAAGAAAGGAAGAAAACAAGCGGCTATTTACGAGCTCCCTCCTCCGGGGCGCAGCCGCCAGCCGCGAGCCTGGAGCCCGGGGCGGCCGCTGGGGCCGGCGGGGCCGCGGGCGCCCCCTAGCGAGCAGCCGTGGCGGCGACCCGCGCGCGTCCTGACGCCCGGGCGCGCACAACCTCGGGCGCGCACAACCTCGGGCGCGCACAACCGCCGCTGTCCAGCTCCCGCCGGGCGCGGGGCGGGGACGCCAGCGGGGCCCCGGAGCCCGGACTCAGCGCAGGATCCGACAGGGTCGTCCGCGGCGCCGCAGCCCGCGCGGGAGCGCTCGCGCCTTGGAAGCCGCCCGCCGCGCGCAACTTCCCCGGGGAGCCAACTTCGGGCGGCGTGCGGCCCCGCGCAGGTAGCCGGCCGCGCGCCCGGCGGGACGGGGCGGCGCGCCCCGGGGAGCGGGCCTCGGCGCCGGGCGGGCGGGGTGGGGACTCGGGCTCTTGCGTCCTGCAGACCCGCGGGGTGCGAGAGATTCGGGGTCGCGCGGGGACGCGGAACCCGCGGCTGTCGGGGGCCAGGGCGCACATGGGTGCCGAGCCTTCGAGGCTGCTGGCCGCGGAGGTCCCCGCGGGAGAGGGCTAGGCTGGGGAGGGCCCCGAGCGGGGGCCCGGGACGGCGCCGGGGCGCGCTGGGGGCGGCACTGGGGCGCGAGTTCCTCCCTCTAGGAGGGGCCTCCGGACAGGGGCGTCCGCCCCAGCGGCTGTCGTGGAAGTTCGGGGCCGGGGTTGGGGGTGGCTGAGCTGCTTAGAAACCAGAGCTTGCAGAGGGTGGGCTCGAGCTGGGGTCCCGGGGCAGGAGGCCGGGGGGCACCTCCAAGGAGGTAACTGGAGTCAGGGTTACGGAAGAGGCGGCTGGCTGGGGCCTCTCCGGAGGGCGCTGGCCGGGGCCCGGGTTGGGAGGGAGCTCGGGAGGTCTCTGCGGGAGCGGGCTGGGCTGGGAGGTCCGGAGCGCCGGGGCTGCGGGGACCCTCCCCTCTCCAGCCGCGGGGGCGCCGGGCCGGCTCTGGGGCTCGAGGGGTCCGCACGTTCCCGCGCGTTGCCAGCGGCCGGGGCGGCTGCACCACGTCGCTCAGGGAGACCTGGGTGGTTTGCGCTCCTGGGAAGCCCTGGAGCGCCGCACGCGCGCCCGGAGAGGGACGTGCAGATTGTCTCACGGCCCCGGACGTCTGTTTCAGGGTGTGACCCAGCAGCTCGGGGAGTGCCACCTGCGGGGCGCCCCCCTCCCCAGGCTCGCCGGGACCTCGCGTCGGGCTCCGCCCCGCGCGCCACACCTGGAAGAACTTGGAGGAGACCGGCGCGGGCGCGGCGCGGCCATGGAGGGCGCGCTGGCCGCCAACTGGAGCGCCGAGGCCGGCAACGCGAGCGCCGCGCCGCCGGGGCCGGGGCCAACCGCACGGCGGGGCCGCCGCAGCGCAACGAGGCCCTGGCGCGCGTGGAGGTGGCCGTGCTGTGCCTCATCCTCTTCCTGGCGCTGAGCGGCAACGCGTGCGTGCTCCTGGCGCTGCGCACCACGCGCCACAAGCACTCGCGCCTCTTCTTCTTCATGAAGCACCTGAGCATCGCCGACCTGGTGGTGGCCGTGTTCCAGGTGCTGCCGCAGCTGCTGTGGGACATCACCTTCCGCTTCTACGGCCCCGACCTGCTGTGCCGCCTCGTCAAGTACCTGCAGGTGGTGGGCATGTTCGCCTCCACCTACCTGCTGCTGCTCATGTCGCTCGACCGCTGCCTGGCCATCTGCCAGCCGCTGCGCGCGCTGCGCCGCCGGGCCGACCGGCTGGCCGTGCTCGCCACGTGGCTCGGCTGCCTGGTGGCCAGCGCCCCGCAGGCGCACATCTTCTCGCTGCGCGAGGTGGCCGACGGCGTCTTCGACTGCTGGGCCGTGTTCATCCAGCCCTGGGGCCCCAAGGCCTACATCACCTGGATCACGCTCGCCGTCTACATCGTGCCGGTCATCGTGCTCACCGCCTGCTACGGCCTCATCAGCTTCAAGATCTGGCAGAACCTGCGGCTCAAGACGGCGGCCAACGCGGCCGCCCAGGGCCCCGGGGGCGGCGAGGCGGCGCGGGCGGGGGCGCGCGGCCCTGGCGCGCGTCAGCAGCGTCAAGCTCATCTCCAAGGCCAAGATCCGCACGGTCAAGATGACCTTCATCATCGTGCTGGCCTTCATCGTGTGCTGGACGCCCTTCTTCTTCGTGCAGATGTGGAGCGTCTGGGACGCAGACGCGCCCAAGGAAGGTAGCCGCGGGGCGCGCGGGGTGCGCGCGGGGTGGGGGCGCGGCTTGCGGGGAGAGGCCGGTAAGGGGAGCTTGCAGGGCGGGGCAGAGTCGGCCCCGGTCATCCAGAATCTGAGATCACTGACTACGGGGGGAACTGGGGAGCTGGGGGGGCGCCCCTCCTTCCCCAGCGGAGCCTCCATCTTCTGGGAAATGCGGTCCCGGCCAGGGGCGGCTCTCCCAGCCAGTGGGGAGCTGGGGGAGAAAATGAGGAGCCCTTGGGTTACCTGGGGGGAGCTGGTTAGTTGCTAAGGACCCGAAGCTGAGGTCGGGGACTGGTGCTCCCGCTCAGCTGGGGGTGTTTCCCACCTGCGCTGAAGACGCCGCCCTTTACGCGCGCGCTTGTTTGGAAACTTCTGCTCTAAGGGCGCGGCTGCCTGAACCCCGGGCAGCAGGGAGGTTGCCGTAGGATCCATCCTACGCAGTGGTGAGATGGGGGCGTGAGCAGGGGAGGGGAGCTCCTGTACCCCTCGTCCAGGGAGGCAGAGAGGTGAGAACCGTGGCCACAGCAAGGCAGGTGGGGCGGGGGTGCCGGGGACCAGGGCGGCTTCTGCTGGGGCTGGGGGAGGGGCAGGAACTGGCTGCCCTGGAGGCGGGTGGGGAGAGGCGGCCCTCCTGCCCTGGGGGAGAGGGGAGAGGTGGCCTGTCTGAGGCTGGGGGGCGGGGGGGGGGCGCCTAGGAGAGCAGGGAGCGCCTCCAGTCGGTGCCTCTGCACCGTGCCGGCAGCGAGTGAGCAATCCGCTTCTCCAGGGAGGGTCAGCGGGTGCACGTCATGTCCTCCCGCCCCGGCCTCCAGCTTGTCAGGCTCTGGACACACTTGTGGATAAATCACCGCTGCCCCCCAGGAGTCTTCAAGACAGCTGCCCTGGGCACTGGAACCCAAGGTTGCCCCAGGCTCTGGGCTCTCTCCCGTCTGCCCAGTGCTGGCCTCGGGGGCTGCGGTCATTCACCTTCTTGACCAGCGGCAGCGCCAGGCCTGAGGCGCCCCACCAGCGTGGCTGTGAAGGGTCAGCAAAGCCAGCACCTTGCAGAAGGGACTCGGGGCAGGGAAGACACGTTCCCAGTCGCACAGCCGGGGGCAGGCCCTGTGGAGCCTAGACTGGTGGTCCCAGCCCCACCCCTGTTTCTCCTGCCGGTGCGGTGGTCTGGTAGGTGGGCTTGGCTGCTTCTTTCCCGGTTAGAGGAAAGCGTGGGCATCCCGGAAACCCAGGCCCCTCCCGGCCCGCCTTGCCTGCTGCTCTGGCTGTGCCGAGAGGACAGTGCAGGCCGAGGGCACTTGTGACAGCAGCCCCTTCCCGTGGGTGGCGCCGGTCCCCCTGGGAGGGGCCCCTCTGTCCAGAGGCCTTGGGCTCTGCTCTGGCCACCAGCCTGGCCTCGGGCTGGCAGGGTCGGAGTGGAAGCGCCCACTGGCAGCAGCTGGGCTAACCACAAGGAGTAGGCTGGGCCTGAGGCATGGAGTGTTGGCTGTCCCTTGGGTGACGGGGCTGTCTTGAGGCTGCAGCAAGGAAGGACACCAGTCCCGCCCCCCCCCCCACCCCAGGCCTTGCTGAGCCCTGGGGAATGGCCTACAGCCCGGAGTCGGGCCAGGCCGGATGGAGGCGGGAGCAGGGAGACGCAGGGAGATGGACCTGCCCCTGCCTCAGCCTCAGCCAGAAAGCCTGGCAGGACAAGGCCGGCCCTCAGCCTGCAGGGCCTGGCCCCACAGAGGGGCACAGGCTCCACACTTCCTGCTCGGGGCAGTTGTGGGGCTCCTCACTGGACTCGAGCCCCACCCCCTTTAGGCCTCACTGTCTCTGACGTGACCTCACACCCCACAGCCCTGTCCCGTCCTCCCCCGGGGTTCCTCCCCTGCCCTCCTCCATCGCCCCAAGCGCTGCCTCCGCGGGTTCAGAGCTCGCCACGTATTGAGGTACCGTGGGGGGCACCAATCCAGGCACACGGCCCAGTGACATGGTGGGAAGGAACTGGGGGCGCACAGGACAGGAAGGCCCCCCCGTTCCAGTTCCAAAAGCACCAGATGGAAGAGGGAAACCTCCACTTCACCATTTCCATTGTCTGGAAGCAAAAGCCCGGAGACGGGAGCCCGCGGGACTGAGCCGTGCCAGCTTCCCAGCCCGGCAGCCCCTGCGCTCTGCGGCAGGCAGGCCCACGCCTGGTGGGGGGCTCCAGGGAGGCGACAAGGACGGCACCTGGGGGGCCTCATCTCCAGGCTGCCCGATGCCGGCGGGCTGTGGAGCGACAGCTTTGCGCGTCTGTCCCTCGCCCCGCCCGTGTCTGTCTCCCTGGCAAAACGGGTGGAAGGGGTGCTGTGCTCCCCCACAAGAGCCTGTGCGGCAGGAGGGGAGAGGCTTTCCAAAGAAAAATAGTCCCAACGAGCCCTAGTACTGGGCTTTCCCATGTTGTGAGATTTCCAGGTGCAGGGCCCGGGGCTTTGAGGGGAGGAGGGTTGGGGGGATGGGGGGCGGCCTGACCCCCTGGCCAGCCAGAGGTGAGGCAAGGTGAGGCGCAAGGAGAGTGCCCCCGTGTGGAGCTGCCGGGTGCCTCCCCTGTGGGTCCCCGCAGGCTGCCGCCCTCTCTGAGCCTCAGCAGCCTCCTCTGCAGAGGAGCGTCCCCAGGGCTCCATCCCTGTCACCGCCTCCCTCCCCCATCCTGCCTGTTTTGCTGGGGTTCTTGGGGTTGGCTTGGGGAGTCTGGGGGGATTCTCTGGGAACAGAGTTTCCTGAGCCGTGGGTGCTGTGTCCAGGCAGCCTGTCCCCGGGGGCCTGTTCCCTGTGTGCGCCAGGGCCGGGCCCCCTCAGCCATTGCTCTTTGGGTGATGTGTGGGGCGGAGTGCAGAGGTGGGCTCAGGAACAACAAGGGCTTTCTAAGCCATCGAAACCCCCAACAGCAGAACTGCTACCTGGTGAAGATGTGAGCGCCCCGCCAGGGCAGCCAGGGGGAGGCCGGGGCACCCCGCGGCCTGGTGCTGATGGGACCTTCCCTGCCCATCCTGGTTCTGTGCCCAGCCCTGGGGTGGCCCGCTCACCCCCGCCCCGGGCACTGTGCCCAGGTCACCCCTGGATGCGGGGAGGGTGGGCAGGAGAAGAGGGCATGGATTGTTCTCGCCCACGAAGCCCTCGAGTCTTGGCCCCACTGGGCATAAATCGCTGGTGCAGGGACAGCGAACGCCACACTCTTGTCCGATGAAGCAATTTCAAGTTCTTTTATGTTCTTGGCTAATGTCAATGTTTTCCTCTTGGGTCTCTGCCCCTAGGTGACTTCACTTTTTTTTTCTTCTCCAAAGGTCTGATTAATAGCAGCAAAAGAGATCTGGTGGGTGAGGCTTGGCTGCGTGTTTTTCCCCATTTGATGTCTGGCTGGGGGTGGTGAGGGGGCCCTGATCAGGGGGAGGCTGGGCCTGATGCCGCCAGAGCAGGGCCGGAGCGCCCCAGGATGGCCCCTCCTCGGCTGGCTACTGCTGCGCCAAAGGCACCCCCCACCCCCTCCGCCCCGGCTCATGGCTAGGGGCTGGGGCGGTGGGTGACGGGTACATACCCGTAGGTATGCCCCTGCAGAGAGCTGACTCGCCGCCCCGGCTGTGTGTTGGGGCACAGCGCCCCCTCTCCAGGCCTCGGTTTCGGCACATGAGAAATCAGACCAGTGTCTGCAGCTGCCCAGCCCACTGCTCATCTTGGGTGTCACAGCAAAGTGAGGCACGTGGTCCCCACTTTACATGTGCGGAAACTGAGGCCCGGGCAGGCAAGATGGGTCAAGAGTGCCCCTGAGGAAGTGATGGGCTGGGGCACGAAGCCAGGTCATGCTTGGGGACTGCTGCGCCCTCCTGCCACTGCTCCCTCCCCTCCAGCTCTAGGCCCCGCCCCCGCCCACCAGAGTGGAGCCCACCCTCTCTGGGGTGGGGACATCCCAACTCCTGCCTCTCTTCCCTGAGCCCCCAGCACACACAGCTCAGTTTGGTGTCACTGCTACCAAAATGGACATCACCACCAAAAATTCCTCAAATATTCTTGAGTGAACCACGGATCAGACCCCTGGGCAGGCAGGGCCTGAGCTAGTAGCCTACAAGGGAGTCCACCCTCTGCACCTCTGCTGGGCTGTGGCCAGCACTGTTGCCCCGGCCGGGCCTGATGCCACTGCCCACAAGTGCCTCTTGCTGGCTCCTCTGCTGGTGCTAGTCCCACCAGGGGATGCCGCCCCGGTCCCTTCTGTGGAGGCTCTTTCCTCAAAGTCCAAACCCAGTGTGTGGGCTGCTTTTCTGCAAGCTCCAGGGGTGCATTTCCCTTGCAGGTTGTAATCGTGCACCCAAGAGTTATGCAGTGCACAGCCTGAGCAGCTGGGCAGGGCGCCCTCACCCAGCCTCCCTTTCACAAAGCCCACCCTGCTTCCCCAGCTGGTGGGAGGGTCTCCTTCCTCCTCCAAAGACTAGTATTTTCATTCTTCAGACAGCCGTTCCGTCCTCCTGACATCCACTCAACCTCCACTTCCACCTGTCAGTCCAGGGAAGGGAGGGTTCCAGGAGCCCTCCCCGGCCCTGTGCCCACCCTGTGGCCCACAGGTGCAGGTGCATGAATGTGGGGCAGTCAGACTGAGGCTGTACCCCATAGACCTCTGGGAGGGAGACCCCCAGTTGCTCTCAGGCTGTGTCAGGGTCTTCCGTCCTCAGGTGCAGCCAGATGGGCGGCAGCCTTGATCCTCGGCAGCTGACTGGACCTGCCTAGAGCTCAGGGGTTGGGAGCAGGGCAAGGCAGTGGGGAGGTGCAGTATGAGGGGGGGCCTCTGCCCTCCAGGCCCAGGCCTCACACTGGGATGGTCTCTTGCTCCCTCTCCCCACCTGATCTTGACATCGGAGTATGAACTGAATTTTCCTAGAGGGAATTGCATTTGAGTCCAGTCATCTTGTTAGGAGGCCAAACTCCTATTGTCAACGGGAAATTGTCTTTTTGCCTTTCCAACCTGCTTGTGGTGGCGGCTGATTTATCAGGACTTCCTGTCTGCTAATTTCATGCTTCAATTCAATTCAGTCCCTTCTTAAACTCTTCTATTTTCCAGTCTCTTCTAGCAGCCAGGGACAGAGCGGTAAATGAGACACGGTCCCCAGTCACAGACTGTAAACACAAATAATGGTACTGTGAAGGGTGATGCGACAATAGAGCTATTTATTTCTCAAGTATTGGGAGTGCCCAGCGGCGTTCACTGATTCTTTCTACCGTAGAAAAAAAGTTAGTTGTGTTTCAGGGAAGGAGGAACATTTGAAAAGGGTTGTGAAGGGTGAATAGGAGCTTGCCGCACAAAAAAGCAGATTGAGAGTCCACCTTGAGATCACCGGACAGTCACTTGATCATCTTTCCCCCCAGTTCCCACCTGTATGAGCTGAGCCAGTGGGGGAAGCTTCTCAAGCCTCGTGTGACGTGCAGGAGCTTGTTAAAATGCAGGTTATGGTTCAGGGCGCCTGGGCAGTGGCCCGGCAGTCTGCCTCGGTAACAAGCATCCAGGCGATGCCCATGTATGCCCTGCCGCTGCCCACAGCTGTGCCTGGAGGGTCAGGCTTTAATGTCCCCCCATTTTTGCTGAAATGCACTGTTTGCCGTTCATGTGTGGCCCTAACTGACTGCAGGGTCCCCCCAACTCGTCTGCTCCCGGAGTGTGCTTCTTCCTCTGAACTGGCCTAGGAGGCCTCAGGGCCCCAGACTCAAGCAGGGATGTCACCGGAGTGTCTAAACGCTTGGTTCTTGTTCCTGATTTGGGCCCAGGGAGCAGCCTCACAGGCGCGATCTTCAGAACAGCTTTGCTAAGACGGCGCCGCCACACTGTCAGGCGTGGAGTGTGCTTGCAAAAATCACTTTGTGATAAAACAGCCTTCCATAGACCACTCCAGAATCCCCACAGGGCCCCTGTAGGTATAAGGGACTTGGGCCGGAATTCCTGATGTCCTGGGGGGTAGGGGAGGCCTGACTCTGGGGGTGGCCTTGAGCCAGGTGACCTTCTGGAGAAAGGGCCACTTACACAATGTTAACGGGCTTGATTTGATTCAGAGGGGCCCTGCCTGGGATTGGGGTGAAAACTCATTAGTTGCCTCAACAACAGCGCAAGGAGGCCCAGGGCCAGCTGCCTCCTGTCAGCTGCTCCAGGCTAATTTGGGCGTCCATGACACGCCCGCTGGGGCGGAGGGAGCTCTAGAAATCCCAACGGGGCGCTCTTGGGGCTTGATTCAGGCCAGGATGGTAGGGGGTGGCGGGGTGGGGGTGGGGGTGGGAGGGGGTTACACCGTGAGGGGCGCTTCTCCGTGGATGCGCAGTGCCCAGAGGGTTTCAGGGTCGATGTCCCTCTCCTGAGGATAAACTCGCCCGGCAGGGGGCGTGGAGATCACCCCTGGGTGTGGGCCGGGACGGGCAGGGCTGCTGAGGTGAGACGCTGCACTGTGGCTTTAGCTAAAGTTGCCTCAATTCAGTTAAAGAAAATTCCACACAGTGTCTGCTGAACAGGCAGGTGTGGCTGCTTAGCAATGTATGTGCAAACTGAGCCCCGCCCCTTTCTCTCCCGCGCGGGTGAAGCCTTGAGGGCAAGGACTTAGGTCCCAGGTTCCTCCATGGCTGGCACAGAGCGGGGTGAGGGGGTGCCCCGACCTCTCCCCTTCACCCCCAGCACCAATGGCCGAGTCCCCCAGGTGTGAGGGCCAGCCCTGGCCCACGCGTCCCACCTGCTGTCAGGGCTCGTACAGGGGAAAGGGATTATTTTATGGGGTGAGCAGGACAGACATGATTAGACCAGTCTCAGGGGGACCCTGAAATGCTTCTGTTGCCCAGGATGCCCCTCTTCCCATGGGGTTTCTCTGGAAGGGGTTTTCCGACACGGACCCCCTAGAGGTCTTGTACCCCATGATCCAGCCTGGGCTCTGGTTTTAGCTCTTTTTCTTTTAACTTCGGGGTGTGCGGGAGAACACACGTGTCTGTCACATGTCCCATGGGTTGTGGCTAATTCTGTCATTGATCAGGAGAGTCACATCTCTACCCAGCTGGCAGCCGAGCATCCCTGGTGTTTCCCCCACTGGAGCGCCCGGGTTGGGAAGAGCACTTGGCATCCTGTCTGATTCAAGCTGGCAGTGGTTCTGTAAAGAAGGCCCGTTATTGCTCCCACTTCTCAGAGGGAGAAACGGAGGCCCAGCGATCTGTTCGAGGACATGCAGGAGCTGGGGTTTGTGCGTAGGTCGGGGTGACTGGAGAGCAAAATCTTGCCCGCCTCACCTGGTGAAGGGTGTTGAGGGGTCCCTGGATCTCCCTCTTCCTTCTGTGACCTCCACCTTTTAACACCTGCTCCTCCTAAAACATCTGCAGCAAGGATGTGCTGACCTGTCCTGTAAAGGTTCAAACAGTAGATGTTCTAGGGTGTTAGGACTCTGGACCTGCCGCCTCAATTTCGCCTTGTAGGACAAAAGCCGCCGTAGACAACATGTGCGTGAACGAGGAAGTGTCCCAGTGAAAGCTGACTTGCAAAACAGGCAGCAGGCAGGCCTGGGCCGGTGGGCAGTGGCTGGCTGGCTCCTGACCTCCTCACCCTGGAGACTGGTAACCCGCCCACAGGCATTGTGGCTCCCCTGAAAGCCCAGGACTGGGGAAGCAGGTGGTGCATGGCCTTGCTGGGGCCCATGGCTGCCACGGGGAGCTCGCTCAGGGGCCCAGCCCTCCAGTTCTGCTGTGAGGGGGTGTCCTTGCTTTGGGACTGAGGGGTCACTCGCTGGAACCAGCCTGATTATGGCTGCTTAGTCCAGTTTGAAAGGGAATCAGATGTCCTGACTTTCACAGGGGCCCTTGCTGCATGTCCTCAGGGCCCTCACCCCCAGTCTGAGCTGCACTAGCCTCATGGGGGGCGGGGGGCGGGGCTAAGGCTTCTTGAAACTGCCCTTCCCCAGCCCTGGGGGACCTTCCCAGTCAGCACCTCCACCCCTGCTGCTTCCTCCTCTGAAATGACCTCCCAGCCAGTCTATCCACTGGGCCTAGGGCAGGAATTCCACTGCGGGGGGCTGGGGGTGGGGGCTCAATCCTTGCATGATTAGGATATTGCCAAATTTTACGAAGTCCAATGTCAAAATTCCAGAAGCCAAGATGCCCTTGGTTTGGGGCCACTTGAGAGTAAGCTCAGCTTCGAAAGGACCCCGGATCCCCTGGGGCCTGGCCCGGCCAGTTTGCCTCTGCGGCCACCAGGTGGGGACAGCTGCACTGGCCGGGGCGGCTCCCTGCTCCCCACACCCCAGCCTGGCCCAGGGAGACAGAGCCTCCGAGCTCGCTGACGCCCCGGCCTCTGTGACCAACGCTTCTTGGTTTTTTTTTTTTTTTTTTTTTTTTTTTTAGTGGAATAAATACTTGAAAGATTCGGTGTAAAGAGCGGAGCAAACAGCTCCCCAGATGAGCTGAGATGATCCCGTCTAATCCGCCCAGCTGGGAGGGCCGGCCTTTGTGTCCGCGGCCTGTGGCCTGCGTCGTTCCTGGCCGGCTCCCCTCGGCCACCCGCCTTCTGCTGCTGAGTCCCTCCTCGCTGCTCAGCGCCTTCCTGAATTCTGACTTTCTTGAGTTTGCCTCTTTCTTTTTATGTGTATGATTTGGAGGACATTCTATTTTTACTCTTGCTTGGTGATATTTCACCACATTTCTAAACTTAACTTCATCTTCTTACCTGTCCAAATCAAAGCACGGTTTCCTTTCATGCTGTCATAGCGGGTGACAGTCATCGTGTTGGTTTTCCCTTCACTGTTCCTCTATTATTAGCTCATTCTGAACATCAGAGTTCCCGCCTTTGCTTTCTAAATAATCTGTTTGGCAAGACTTTGGGCTTCTGTCTGTTGCGGTTCGCCCTTATTCCAGCGGCACCAGAGACACAGGCCTGAGGGTCTCACACCCAGATCCCAAGGGCCCCGACCCCCTCCCTCACGGGCCCTCCCCTGGCCTTGGGGGGTGGTTTGCGTTTCTGATAAGTTCTGGAGTTCCCGGATGATCAGGACCCCACCCCTAGAACACTCACCCTCTTCCTGGGGTGCCCACAGCCTCCGCCCCGCCTCTGTGATGCATCTGGACCTGACACCTCCAGTGTCCCTGTGAGCAATGGTTTCCCAGAGCTCGCTCTTGAGTTCTGGAATGATTCCAGGAAAGCTTTTCACAGAAAAGATGATGATTGAGGAGGATTCCTGAGGCTTCTTGCAACTGTCGCCCTCAGGTGCAGCCCTGAAGGTCTGGGTTGCCTTGTTGCCCTGCCAGCCTTGGGGGTGTGCTAGCCCTGCTGCTGGTGGGAGGTGTCTGCAGATTGGAAGGAACCCGGTTTGCTCCCCTGTACTCGAAAGTACTGATGAGGGTTTCCTCCGCCTTGAAGCTCAAGTGTGTGGTGAGCCCCATCTGGGGTGAATTCTGCCCAAACCACCGAGCTGTCAGGGTAGCGTGTCCGCAGCCCTGGGGTGGCCCGGGCACTGTCTCCTGTGCGGGCTCTGGTCGGGTTCTCGGGGTGTCTCTGGATGCTCTCGGGTCAGGATGGAAGCTCGCAGCAGGGATGTTTTTGAGGAGAGATAGGACCGGGTGGCTCCAGGGCTGGGCTGAGCAGGGGCAGTTGCAGGGAGCAGGTTGCAGGTGCCCCGCGCCAGGGTCCTGAGGGCATCTAGAACATCCCCTCAGCAGCACCTCCATCTGCGACCCTGTTCCCAGGACTCGCAGCCTGAGTCCGGTGAGTCGGGGAGCGCCATCCCGGTGACCCCGCTCTCGCTCTCCTTCCTTCCAGCCTCAGCCTTCATCATCGCCATGCTCCTGGCCAGCCTCAACAGCTGCTGCAACCCCTGGATCTACATGCTCTTCACAGGCCACCTCTTCCACGAGCTGCTGCAGCGCGTGCTCTGCTGCCCCTCACGCCACCTGCAGGGCCGGCCCGGGGAGACCAGCGGCAGCAAGAAGAGCAGCTCGTCCACCTTCGTGCTGAGCCAGCACAGCTCCAGCCAGAGGAGCTGCTCGCAGCCGTCCACCATGTGACTGCGGCGGCTCTGCCTGCAGGCTTGGGTCGCCCACCCAGACAGCCACCCCCGGGGCCCAAGTGTGTTTGTGTCTAAGGTACCTGTCACCTTGTGCCCCTCCACATCTGGGGGGGTGTATGGTGGGGTCTCCCGTCTGGGCTGGGAGTGCTCTGTGTGGTGGAAAGTTGACAGGGCTCGGCCATCACACCACCCCTCACCTCCTGGGCTCCCACTGTACTTCTGCTGCCCTGACCCCGCGGCTGCCTCAGCTGGTGGGCGGGTTGGGTTTTCTTGTTTGTTTTCACCTGGACCTGTGATTTCACTCAGTGTCTTTTTACTCCTTCATCCTGGGATCTTGTGAGAGGCAGTGAGTATAGGGATGGTGGCCAGTGGGGTCCAGACGCCCAGTGTTCTGAACTTGGAGTAAGGCCTGGGAATGGGGCCTCCAGTGGGAGGGTGGTGCTAGTAGCCTCCACACCGTGCAGTGCTTTTGCCTTTGAGGGGACAAATCCTAGCATCTTCGGGGAGCCTTACGAACAGGGGATTCCCTTATGGCACCATCTGCCCAGGCAGCCGATGAAAAAGGGTTAAAATGTTTAAGAAACTAGTATCTAAGAAGCAATTGGGCAAGAAAAAGAAATAGAAGGCATCCCAATCGGAAAGGAAGGAGTAAAACTCTTTGCAGACGATGCGACTTTGTATATAGAACTTCCCAAGGATCTATGCATGCATACATGCACCGACACAAATGCATTAGAAAAACAGGCCAGTCAGCAAAGTTGCAGGGTCCTAGTCCACATTCAAAATTCAGTTCAATTTCTTGACACCAGCAATGAATGATACAAAAATGAAATGAGAAAGTAAGTCCATTTATAATAGTCTCAGAAAGGATAAGAGTAAATTAACAAAAGAGATGCAAGACTTACGCACTGAAACCTACAAATTATCACTAAAAGACATTGAAGAAGACATAAATAAATGGAAAGGCCTCTTATGTTCATGGCGCAGAGAGTGAAACATGACGAACAGGGTAGTAATCTCCAAACTGACCTACGGGTTCACAAGGCAGTCCCTATCAAAATGCTAATTGGCCTCGTTATACAAACTGACTGGCCGATCCTAAAATTTATGGAAATGCACAGTACCCAGAATAGTCAACAAACTTTGAAAAAGAACAAAATGAGTGGATTCACGTGTCCTGATTCACATTCCTTGTTTCAAAACTTACTGCAAAGCTATGGTAATCAAAATGGTATGGTACTGGGATGAGGACAGATACACAGTCCAATGGGATAGGATAGACAATGTTGATCTAAACCCTGGCATTTATGGAAAATTGATTTTTGACAAGTGTGACAAGAAAATTCAGTGGGATATAATAGACTTTTCAACATATGGCTCTGGCACAACTGGATCACCCCATGCAAAACATGAAATTGGATCCCTCCCTCACACTATCTATACAAATTAACTCAAATTAAAGCTAAGACTTAAAAAGAAAACAGAGGCATCATTGATGGGAACTTCAATTTGGCAATGGTTTCTTAGATATGACACCAAAAGGAAGAAGAGATTAGTCTGACCTCATCCAAACTGAAAACTTTTGTGCTTCCAAAGATGTTGTCAGGAATATGAAAGACAATTCACAGAATGGAAGAAAATATTGCAAAACATATACTCATATCTGGAATATATCAAGAACTCTTACAACTTAATAACAAAGAGATAAGACAATTTAAAGCATACACAGAACACTTGACTAGGAAAATGAATAGACATATTTTTATATCTCCTCCAAAGAAGATCTAGGAAGGGCCAGTAAGCCCACAAAAAGACACTCAACATGATTATTCATTAGAGAAATGCTAGTCAAAGCCAAAGTGGAATGCCCCTTCATACCCACAAAGATGACTACAGTCAAAGAGAAGGGCCATAACCAGTGTTGGCAAAGAGGTAGAAAAGTCAGAACTCTTCACATTCTCATGCAAAAGTAAAATGGCGGCAACCACTTTAGAAAACAATTTGGGGGGTCTCCAGGAAGCTCAACACACAATTACCATCTGACCCAGAAGTTTCCCTCATAGGCATTTACTCAAGATAAGGGAAAACTTTCTCACACACACACACATTGGTCCAAAAGTATTCAGAGCACCCAAGTTATAACAGCCCCCACATGGGAGTAACCCACATGTGACCAGCTGATGGACGGGCCCATAAAATGTGCTGTGTCTGTACATGGTGGAATATTAATCACCTCTGAAAAGTGCCAATACAGGCCACACGTGGACGAACCTCAAAAATGTGCTCAGCAAGAGCAACCTTTTTGAAAAGCCCCATCGTATGTGGCTCTGTACCTGAAAGTTCCAGAATGGGCAGTCGATGGAGAGACATCATACCTAGGTGGGGTGAATGGGCAGCGCAGCTAAGAGACACGGGGTTCCTTTTTTGGGTAATGACAGTTTTTTGGAATTAGCGATGATGGTGCAGGATTTTGAGCCATAGGCCCCAAACCGCTGAACTGAACACTTACCAAATTAAGCCAGAATTGTTTCCCTGCTGTGTTCAGAGGTGGCCAGCCTGATGGTGCCAGGGACATCTCCTCGGGCAGATCTCTTGTCTCTCTGCGTGTGTGACTCATGGTTTTTCTTACTGTTTTATTTTTCTGCAAGAGCTGGTGCTTCCAGGGGGCCCCAGCGGTTCAGCACTAACCCCTGGCTCTGCCCTGGTGAAGGCACGGGGGTGCCTGGGGGCTGCAGACTGTCCGTTTATCTAAAGCTGCAACCTGCAGGGCCTCCGAGGTTTGTCCCACCCAGGGGACATTATCCAGGGTCCTCTCAGTTGTGAGGTTGGCCGGGAGCGCCTCTAAGGAGTGCTTTCAGCCGTGAGACCGGGGGCGCTGGGGCCCAGAGCCTGGCTGACTCGGTGGCACCTTTTCCATTTGCACACCTGTTTCTGAACTCCCTGTGATGCAACAGGAGCCTCCTGCCCACCACGTTGTACTTGTGCGTGCACATACTCACGCTCACACTCACGCGGCAGGAGCAGCCCGCAGGGTCCATGCGTTTGGGGAGAAGAGGCCCGGAGGCGCAACATGGTCAGTGTGTGCCCAGTGGCCTTGTGGTGCTGCCGTGACCTGCACTTGGCGTCAACACCTGGCTGGGAGTCCCTGTGCCCACCACAGGACTGCTGGGGTGCTCCCGGAGCAAATGCAGCCATGGTGGGGACTGTGGCCTTTGGGGCTCTCTGCTTGCCAGCCAGGGATGCCCGGATCAGAGCCGCAGAGAGCAAGGAGGCAGCGCCCTCGGGGGGGGTCTCTCTGACCAGGGCACAACCTTCCGGGGAACCGGTCGTGAGGCTCAGGGTGAGTCGTGAGTCGTGAGGCTCAGGGCATCAGAACCCATGGGCCACGTCCCCATCCTCAGGAAGGTTCTGGGTGCGAGGAGGCGTGTGTGGCTGACGGCACATCAGCGCCCTGTGGGTACGCGCCCTCCCCTCCGGGCCTCGTCCTGGCGAGGAGAGTATTGTCACTGTTTCTTGTCTTTGTAGTAAAGCCCGGAGACTGTGTGCCACGGGGCCCGGAGGCTGCCTGGGGCGCAGCGGTTCTGACCCCCCCGCAGCCCGCAGAGCATCTCCCGCAGCTTCAGACCCGCCCACAGCGCCAGGTGGGCCGGCAGGCGCCAAGGCCTGGACCCTCCTCCGGGACGTGCCGCTGTTCCGATGGGCAGAGGGTCTGAGCACTGGGCCCCGTCTCCGTGCCTGAGAAATAAAGCCTGTCCGGTCCTTTGGGCTCCTGGGTCGGGAGGGCCGGGCGGGGGCTCTGAGGGCCGTGAGGAGGGAGGCTGCCTTTTACGACAATCCTGGTTTCCAAGCGCTTCTCCTTTTAGTGCTTAACTGCAATGAAACGCCACTAAGTGCAAGATGCAGAGCCCTTGATTTTGTCTGTGGGGGCCCTGGGGTGCCCTGCGCTGCCTGCGGGACTGCTGTGGCCATTGCCAGATTCTGCTGCTTCACCTGCTTGTAGGAGGTGCACACAATAAACTCTGTTTTCATACATTGTGTGGGCCTCAGTTCCCCCCCAAAGCAGTGGCTGCGTCTGGCTTTGCAGACGGGAGCCCCCTGTGGCCACGGAGCACGATGCCGCCTGGGATGGGGGAGCAGGGAGGGGACGGGTCATGGGGAACACTCTGGAGAATCCAGGGGGTTCTAGGTTGCTGTTTGAAGGGACCCTCGGGCCCGTGTCCTCCCATGGGCGTGGGGCTGTGTGGTCTCCACCCAAAATCACCCAGCCCCGGGGCCCCCACCTGCGCCTTGAGGGAGAGCTCCTGGTGATGGGGCTCTGAGCAGACTGGCCCCCTCCCCGGGAGGCTCCTGCTCCCCACGTGCCCCTGCTTGGGGGCTGCCGGGCAGGAGCGGAGCCCTGCGGAGGAGCACGCACGCAGCCCTTTCTCGGGATGTCCCGGCCGTGGGCCCGGCTACGCTCTGCCCCTAGAGGAAAAGCAGCGTGAGCACCTGGAGTCGTAGTTAAATTAATTCCCAGCAGGTGCCAGGATGGGGGTACCTTCTCGTCTGGAGCCCCAGGTCCTGGACGGGACGGCCCGAGGGTTTCAGGAGCTGTCTGAAAGGGCGGGCCTGGAGAGGGTGTCGGTACTGGGCTTCAGTCCCGACCCTGGGGGAGCCCGGCTGCTGCGTCCACTCACGGCCACAGTGGGAAGGGCGGGCAGGGCCGAGCCCCGGGGCCATGTGGAGCTGGGACTGTCCACCGCAGGGTGTGGGTGGAGGGGCACAGGCGTTCACTGCAAACCCGCCAGCTGTCCTGTCTTGGAACTACCAGACGAAGAATTAGGGGACAAAACCTGGTAAAATTTTAGAGCTGAATGGACACTCGGTGTTGTGTTGTGGGTGGCGCGAGTGGACAGTGCAGCCCAGCCCAGCACAGCCGAGGTTGCCCGCGAGGTTGCCCCCCACCTCGGGCTAACGTGGTGCCGGCCCCACCGCCAGGCACGAGCAGTGACACCCCTTGAAAATCTGAAAAGTGCGTGGA